GTGTAATGACACAGGGTGTATGGTGTAATGGTGTATTGTGAATGGTATAATGGTCTATGGTGTTAGTGGGAAGTTTACACCATCCAAGGACTGTAGCTGTTGTTAATTGTTCTAAATTCAGTCTTGATTAATCATTTTTGCTCTCGACGAACACAATTTTCAAGCATAAGGTTCTGTAACTTGTGTAATAATATGAATAAGAATGTACCAGTAGAAGAGATGTGTTCTCTTATTGTTTGACATGTCATTACCTTGGATGATAACCCGGACAAAAAATTATTTATTTTTGCGCGTACGTTTCACTTTATTGTCATAGATATAAGAAGATGTGGTATGAGTGCCAATGAGACAACTCTCCATCCAATATATATTTATGAGCGCATCCCACTTCCCCGGTCTAATATCTTTAAAGAACTTAAAAGTTGTCTGTTCTGTAATTCTAACCGATTGTGTCATATTTCTGATTGTGACCTTTTGCTTTATTTGAAGGCGGGTATTGCATGTGTAGCAGGATACTGTTGCCCTGTCGACGCTCCTGGTCTCACTCGTTTTAGAGTTCATGCGATTCCCTCAGTGTTTGTTTGCTGCCTTGATTTGTATCTTCCTATTCGATTTATGATAAACTACTGTTCCTTAAATATATAATATTTATTCTGTGATTGCGTTTAGCAAAATATTTCTTCAAACATATATACGTTTTTCCATAACATATCAAACGTCTTAGGGAAAAATCCCGAGTTTTGTCAGCTTTTTGTTAAAATTGTTATTTCGATTGTAAAAGCAACCATGATCCAGCTTATTTATAAATAAGAAGATTAAGTATGAGTGCCAATGAGACAAGTCTCTATACAAGTCACAATGTATAAAAAGTAAACAATTATAGGTCAAAGTACGGCCTTCAACACGGAGCCTTGTCTCACACCGAACAGCAAGCTATAAATGGCCCCAAAATGACTAGTGTAAAACAATTTCTAAAGGCCAGCATTTTACGAGGGGCTATCAGTAGAAGTTAGTTTGATCAATTTCAGCTGACATCAAGAGAAGCTTTTATGACACCTTAAACTTAACCAATTTCTGGCAAAAGCTATTCGACCATAGGACAGTTCTGGATAGGTCTTCCCTACAACATATTTTAATTTGACAGCCTTAACCTAGATACTTTTTACATTTCTACTTATTCTGTATTTATTCATGTATTTTTTATGATCATTAGGAATTTATCTTTAGTATTTCCAACAAAATAATCTTTGATATCGTTTGTGAGCTATTTTTTTTTTTTAGATTCATTATAAAATTATAAACAATGTTTTTGTTTTTTTCATGACCTGTTATTATATTATTTTAAAAAGTACAAAAACATGTTGAATTACATGATCATTACATACAAATGTGAAATATACTGAAAACCAGTCAGGATAACTCCGGTATTAAACCACTCGCACTACATTACAAACTACTTCTACTATTATACACCAAATTAATTTGATTAAAAAGATGATTTTTACGATGTAAAAATATATATCCAAGTCCAAGGAGTTTTGTTTTCGAAACAAGAAATGGTGAAGGTTCTTTTCATTTCAAACATTAGATATATACGTTAAAATAATTCTAACAGGTAATACCCATTTTTGTCCTGACTTCCACGACGACTTGAATTGTTCTAAATTTGTTATGGAACTGAACCTAACAGTTTTACATAGGAATAGTTTCTGACAGTAGTATTCTAAAACTGTGTAGAACAGTTTCTGACAGTAGTTTCCTAGTACAGCATACAATAGTTTGACAGTGGCATCCTAGAAATGTGTAAAACAGTTTCTGACAGTGGTATTTTAGAACTGTGTAAAAATGTTTCTGACAGTGATATCCTAGAACTGTGTAAAACAGTTTGTGATAGTGGTATCCAGGATCTGTTTGAAACAGTTTTTGACAGTGGTATCCTAGAACTGTATATAACAGTTTCTGACAGTAGTATCTTAGAAATAGGTAGATCAGTTTCTGACAGTGGTCTCTAAGAACTGTGTAGAACAGTTTAGCCAGTGGAATCCTATTTTCTGACAGTGGTACAATGTATCATAAAACCATGTTAAACAATTTTTGACAGTGGTATCATAGAACTGTGTAGAAAAGTTTGTGACAGTGGTATCCTTGAATTGTGTAGAACAGTTTGTGACATATCCTGTGTAGAGTAGTATCTGACAGTGGTATCCTAGAACTGTGTAATACAGTTTCTGACAGTGGTGTTCTAGAACTATGTGAAACAGTTTGTGACAGTGCTATCCTAGAACTATGTAGAACAGTTTGTGACAGTGGTATCCCAGAACAGTGTAGAACAGTTTGTGATAGTAATATCATAGAACCGTGTAGTACAGTTTCTTCTTTTCCCGAATGTGACCCACCGAAGTAGACTTATTACCGGGTTTGAACTAACATGAGCAACACGACGGGTGCCACATGTGGAGAAGGATCTGCTTACCCTTCCGGAGCACCTGAGATCACCCCAAGTTTTTGGTGGGGTTCGTGTTGCTCAGTTTTTAGTTTTCTATGTTGTGTTTTGTGTGCTGTGGTTTGTCTGTTTGTCTTTTTCTTTTTTGGCAATGGCGATGTCAGTTTTCGATTTATGAGTTTGAATGTCCCTTAAGTATCTTTCGCCCCCCTTTTTGAATAAAGGCAACAGTAGTTATCGCTGTTAAAAAGTCATAAATCGATTAAGAGAAACAAATCCGTGTTACAAACTAAAACCGAGGGAAACACATCAAATATAAGAGGAAAACAAAGAAACAACATAAAAACTGAACTGCAACAAAAACAAACGCCAACATACATAGAAACGGACTATTTGATAACAACTGCCATATTCTTGACAGTGGTATCTTGGAACTGTGTAGAACATTTTGTGGCAGTGGTATTCTAGAACTCTGTAAAACAGTTTCTGGCAGTGGTATCCTAGGACTATGTAAAACAGGTTCTGACAGTTCTATGACATATTAGTTTAATAGTTCTGAAGAACGATAAGAGATGATGGTAATTTGTCAACACAATAAATATCAGGAGACAACATTAATCTAACTAACCTTAAATGCAAGACATTACATAGTCAATAGCTGGATTTATAATACTTATATTGTTAATTATTTGAAATCCTTTTTTTTATTTTGCAATACGATATATATTATTATCTTGTTAAAAATGTTATCATCATAAACACAATCCAAAAAGCAATTCTCATCTTGACATTACCGCATCGTGATCGATAAACACAATGCAACTATTATCATCATACCTCATTCTCATCATGATATTACTGCATCGTCATTGATAAACACAATGCAAATAGCATCAGCCATTTTTATTGTGTTGACTTTATATAGTTTTTTTTTCTTTTCTAATGCATCTTTCATTTTATACTTGTATGCCAGCATAGCATCTGCTACGTATTGCACGATTACATTAAACTTTTGTTCACTCTATGCATGTACGATGCACACTGGTATATCTATAGTTATCTACATCTCAACCTTTTAACAAAAAATCGATTGCTTTACAGGCGAGTTATAAGTAACAACATATTAACATGTCAAGTGTTTCCCACTTTTAGTTGTGTCTCGATTAGATCCGGATATTGATGAGTATTATATTTGATGAAAAAACGGTATTAACGTCCATGTATTTTATCTAGTTAATATATTTGATGATGTAAGATATATGTATAATAGAAATTTCTTTTATACATTATTTTAAACTAATAGACGACATACCTCGTTATTTTGAGCATTTCTGGTAACTTCCGAAAATACAGTAACTTAAAATGACTGTTATTGGTAATTAACAGCTGGCCTTTTGATGCGCAGTTCTGATAGTTTTTGTATGATTGTGCCAAACCTGTAGTGATTTCATCTCAATATATAAAAGGTATTAGGTTAAATCTACCCTTTCCCATCTACCCTTTGCCAACTGTTTTGATTCGAGCGCCACGTTTGAGTTCTGATAGATGAGACGCGTGACGTACGTACTATATTATAAACCTGGTATATTTGAGAAACTTTTACAGCAATAAATTGTTATTTAACCTATTTCATACCGTTGCTAGTGGACTGTTAGTTGCCTATGGTATCACTAACTCAGTAGTCAGTGCTTCAGTACTAACATGATTTATAAAAACTTTATTTAAAATACGCGTTGACAAACTACTTAATTATTAAGAAACTAAGATCCATATATATATATATATTGAATATATTGCTATATTTGATTAGTTTTTGATATGTTAAAAGAATTCATTCCAAACTTAGAATTTTGAAACATTCCGAATATCCTTAGAATTTATCACAATTTCAGGTTGATTTACCACGTCAGGAATATGACATTTGTTTTCCATTCGTTTGGTGTGTTTAAGCTTTTGATTATTGCCATTTGATAAGGGACTTTCCGTTTTGAATTTGCAATGAGTTCGGTATTTTTGTTATTTTACTTTTTATATATTTTGGTTAACGAGGAAATAACCGAGATATGAACACGTGCTTATAGTTTGTATTCGAAAAATAAACCCATTGATCACGTGTTATGTCTTGATGATTCATTTTCTTAACATTTAAGTGCAGTATCTACTTATGATTTGTTTATCTGAATTTTAACCTGATATGAAACTTACCCTAAACCCTACACATTTTCAATTTTTCTGCTAAGTCCTGAAAGAATTATGATTTTTACATATATTCTGATAATATCTGGCTTTCCTCATTGGTATTGAATATACAAAATGAACATGATGAACGTAATCCATGAAATAATTTGTACTATTATCGTAACATATTGTAATGACTCATTTTACAATTGATGTGATTTGAGTCTATTGGACTAACATATATGTTAAGGTGCAAACTGTTTAGGTTGAGTTGTCATAGTTATTCAATGGTGTCGTTGAAGTAAATGATTTTGTTTATGTATATCCTTTGTATACCTGGTCTTGTAATGTTTGAGAATGCACACTTGCAATAACTGAAAACAGGTTTCACAAAAGTTTATTACAACAATACAAATCAAAGTAATTTAGAATCAACCGTATGGAAATCGTGTATTATGTGTGTTCTGGTTTCAATACACAGGATAACCAGAAAAGAAACCCATACCTTCCTGAAATGTTCCTCTATAAATTGGATTATTACGTATTTTATAGCATCATCTCGTTTTAGAGATACTATTGCAATCATTGAGCTTCCATCACTTCTTGCGCCAGCTGATGCTTCTGATAAAACATAGTTGTTTTTGACCATTTGTAGATGTAGACCATAGCTATTATATAGCATCGAATGAAATGTAGAAACAAAGACATACACCCCATCATAAGGAGCAGTAAAATGCCCATTTCGATTGTTATAAGCGCTTCCAATGTTTGTGATAACGTAATCAAATACCATTGTCGTTGAAGGCAACATAGCTTCAATCCTTGGTTGTAGTTTTGCATGAAATGCAACTCTCTTATCTTGTCCACCTGATAAGATAAACAGTATTGATCGATTGGCGGTTGCTTAATTTCATGTGACAAATTAATAAACAGTATTTATTATGTATACGTTGATAAACTAAAAAATAAACATGCACCAGCAATTATTTATTCAAGGGACATTTGTCTATCAAATATCAGTAACTATGTGTTAAATTTGTCTATCACATATCAGTTACTATGTGTTAAAATTGTCTATCACATATCAGTAACTATGTGTTAAACTTGTCTATCAAATATCAGTAACTATGTGTTAAATTTGTCTATCAAATATCATTTACTATGTGTTAAATTTGTCTATCAAATATCAGTAACACGTGTTTAATTGTCCTACGCATCTGCTTAGGGTTACAAATTTGTATATTAGAACTATAATTCAAAAAAAGAGAAATGTTGCTATTCATCTAGATATACGAAAAAAAATGATTTAAGTAAAATATATGTTGTTAATAATATTGTAGCTCTTACACCAATTTACCAAACACTGTGCATGACATGGTAATTAAAGTTGTGATGTGTGAAGTATAACCCACATGTGCTAGTTGGCTGACCATTCAATGTCATCAAGCTTATTTAATATCAGTGTCTGAATTTTAATCTGTATTCATCGTTAAACGTTTTGCCATTAACTTACTATTCTGATTGGAAAAAATACTTTACAAATTCATTGCGTCGCAGCGCTTTTCTGAATTTGTCTCAACTCAAGCCTAATGATTTGAAAGCAAGTAATGTGAAAAAAGGAAACAACCGTTGGAAGCTATATGAACTAAAATAATAATCAGATGGCTTCCATGGTCAATTTTGTCATAAGTAATTGGAACCCTATTTTCTTAAAAAATTAGGGCATTTCTTACTCTGAAGCTTCGACTTTATAGATGCTAGTTCAGACTTGATATCCTGTTTCAACTTAGTAAACTCTGGACATAGATCCATAACTGATTGATCTAGCTGCAAGGCGGGACATCCCAGGAAGTTCAAAGCGAATATTGCAGCAAAGACGTGAACTATCAACGCCATGACCTTTGGTGTGAGATTATGCAGGTGGTACAGGGATTTTTTATAAAAACGAGGTTTAAAGCTGAAATAAAAGTTTTATACATTATTTGACAACACATTATACACAGTATATTCTCTAAGTCAGACAATGTAGACATGCAGGTATAATAACTGACTTTATATTGATGTATAACTGGTAATGTGCTGTTGTCATGAAATAGAGGTTCCTTTATGTTAAACGTTTCACTAGGGACAGATATTATGGCCCAATTGTGTATAACAAAGCTTTCATTGGAACCTCTATTACGCACAACAAATATACGTTGACACCACGAGTGAAAGTATTAAAAGAAAAAAAAAACAAGAAAAACGGAGTACGGAGTAAGGAGTTTTCAATAGTTTACTTGAAGATCATAATGTTGAACTTGGGTGCCGAAACTTTCACCACTGGGGTCTGTTGTTAAACTTGTCGCTAGTGCTAATGAGACGTAAAATTTTCTTAATCATTGGATTAGTGTGTTGTTCGTTAATTTAAACGCGTTGTAAAAAAATGCTACAACTGTCGTTTAATTTAATCAACCTCATGAGGGTGTATTAAATTTTAATCATATGATTAAAACATCAAATATGGCTGCTGTAGCAATGCGAACATTGGTGTGTGCTCAAAAAATGAGATGTATCCCCTGAAAAGGGAGTTTAGCAATGACCAGCTATGAAAGCTCTTTAGATTTGAAAAAAAACAACACAATAGATGTGTTAGGAGTTGAGTTGAAACATAAATTGGAAACAGATTAGACAAGACAGTGTGAAGGTTCGAACGGATACATATAATAGTCATCCGATAACAGAAAGAAATTGCACTTATCGACAGTTATTCGTTTGTATGTTACCGCTTACCGAGCAGTGTTGATTTTAAAATGCTAAAGACGGGCACCATTATTGTGCGGAATGATTCAACAGATTATGACGAACAAGCTTTTATAAATAATAAAGTTACCATAGCATTAATGTACAGGCCATAATTGATTTCCAAAGCAAGTCTTTGCTAATTTTCCCGCTTTTTTTTAAGTTCAAATTTTAGCACATTTAGTAGCGCCCTTGACTTAACTGCTTGCGCAGGTAAATTTAAATGGATAAATTCGGCCCTCAGATAGCTCGGACCAAACGGTATTAATATTTTTGCGTAGTTGTATTTTATCACACCGCTATTTATTATCATTTAGGAAAAAATTATGAGCTTGACGAGGATAAAAATATTAATAATGAAAATTTGCTCTAGTAAGTGTTGGTTATGTCAGTGATTAAGTGTAATATTCAGATATAGTGAATAAAAAGTCTCACCATATTTCACAGTTGACACGATATACAAAAACAAGCACCTGCTCTTCAGAATATGGAAAACCTAAGTTCAGAGAGTCAGGAATTTTTCAAAACAGGAACAGATATACTGGTCCTAGTTCAAAAGAAGTCAGAGGCTGATTTGGAGATTTTTTAGGGAATTACTGAAGCATGACTAGAGCGGGCCCCCTCTTAGGCAGTCAGTGCCCCCCTCCCTTATGAAAATTTCAAAATCCGCCATTAGAAGTCTTATACCGCGTGAGGTGAGGGGTAGGGGGCCTATTACTAGTAACTTCAGGAATCAAAACACTTTCCAATCATTCATATCACCAATATATGTTTGATTTTTTTTAAACTGAACACTGCTTCTCCCATGTCTCTGGTAAAGAGACCAAGGTCCGGTTTAGATATGATAAAATATAAATTGCAGCAAATTCATTGAGCATCCTGATAGTATATAGTATCCAACATATAACTTTCACCATTTAATATTCTATCGTTATGTGAGTAATGATCGTTAAAGTTGAGATAAAAAAGAGTCAAAATGAAACGTCGTTTTTTTTCCTTTGACGTCGTTATCTGATAATGTGATTTTAAAAAAATAAAACAAATCTGAAACCTTTATAGATTCACATAAACATGCGTGTTTCTTGTGAGTTGAAAATAAAGAAATATTCAGCCATGTCTGCATGATTATACAAATTTCTTCACAATAAATTCTGACATTAGACAAATAAACACCGACTTGGTTGCAATGGCGGATGATCGAGGGATGAGGGGAGGGGAGGGGAGGGGAGGGGTGGGGTGCCGGTGGTTGACATATAATAAATTTGATATATTATCTCCGTGAAAATACAAACCATTGATATATTTGACATTTCAAAAAAGTTACCCATACCAGCGGGACGTCTGTGTGTATCTGTATATAGGAAGAGAACCCCCATTCCTTGTATATATTAATCTTTCTGTATGTGCCTGTCCCAAGTCAGGAGCCTACAATTTAGTGGTTGTCGTTTGTTGCTGCATATCATATTTGTTATTCGTTTATTGTTTTGTACATATATCAGGGCGTTAGTTTTCTCTTTGAATTATTTAACAATGAAAGCGTCATTTCAGGGTTTTGCTTATTTTGGAAGGCGGTAAGGTGACCTATAGTTGTTAACTTCTACAGCCTTTGGTCTCTGGTATACATATAGAGAGTTACTTCATGTGCAATCATACCATATATTTCTATTTCTATATTTACGCACCCTGCGTGAATATCTGATACCAAAGATATATCATAGTGTCGGATAGTTTTATTCGATCTTTTTTTTTTATTGTTTTGTAACTCAAAAAATACTTGTTCAGGGTTTTGTTAATAAATATAACAAACAAGTCGTAAATTCATTTTGTTAAAAACAAACTATGCCGTATGATTAACAATTTATTTTATTGTTCATAGTTCTGAATTTATTTTCACCATCCATAACAATCATCTAAAATGTTATCTCGGCATGCCATACTTGATAGAAATGCGAACGTGAAAGAAAGCACTCTTCACCAAAGCGTCAACGAAGATTATATTCCACGTATGTAATATTACGTTAATTTCATCATTTATCAAACAAAACACCTGGAATCTGTATCGAGTTTTACTAAATGAACAACAGAAATTACTGGTTTTTAAAAGATTCGTCATCATATTGCTAAATAAATTTAACAAAGACTTCAAATTATCTGCTATGAACACTCAAATTCCGCGAAACTCAAGATAAACCTTATATAACCATCACGGTAACAACGTAAATTAGAGATTAGCTTAACGAGGACACACACTGACAATGTTTCCAAGTTGGAACAGTCGTTGCTGCACGATAAATCTAGTTTGAACGATGATTAAAACTTTTTATAGAAATACAATTTCACTTAATGAATGCAATTTGTTTGGGTTATTTTTTCTACGATTGCCGAGGTCCATCATTTCAGATAACAACTTCTGTGAACAAACAAATGAAAAACTTTGGGCCTAGTCATGATCAGTAATGGGTGAATGGAGATGTTTATTATTGCACAATGTACCCGAAAGCACACTTTGTTAAACAGAATGCATTAATTTCTGCATTTCTTAAATCATTTTCCCCTTCAAGCACATTTAATGTTAACTCCAACAGACAATTTTGATGAATCTAAACTATATATATATTACCATACAAATATGAACATGTTAAACGATATTTATTCAATCATATATATTTGACACCCAAAAACTGGGTAAAAAGAAGTAGGTTATAATTTAAAACAGAAAAGGAAGTTATAGGTCCTGATTTACAATGCATTGTAAGAAACACTTGCTAATTAGCCAAAATTAATCATATGATTAAAAATTACTACAGTGATTAACTAATACAATGATTACAATCAGTCGAACAACACAATTTAATCATTGTATTTACTAGTCATGCGATTAACTTTTAACGACTCGTTAAAAATAATCATATGATTAGTTTAACGCCAAGTTGAACAACAGACCCCTGGTGTCGAATTAACGAGAGTCCGATTTGAGTAGGTGCCGAAATAACAATCACATGTGCCGATTTGACCAAGTGCCGATTTAACCAGTGTTGAAGTTATAAGAATTCTTCCTAGTGACGTTTTAGTTTTTAATTAGCGTGAACCATGTATAGTTGGTAAATCATGAAGTCAAGGATTCCGTCACCACATGTAGCTTAAAATTTAAAAGCTGTAGGTCTTGCCAGGTAAAGAACGAAAGATATTTACAAACAAAGTTAGTCAAATCACAAAAAGTAGGCCATATTACAAAAGCATAACTTTATCTGACACAAAACTCAATCAAAGAATACTACTAGATGTTGCAATTATTGTATCTGCTGAGTCTCAAAACTGTAAGTAGTATTTAAATATCATAAACATTCTACTGTTTACGTAAGCTTAACTCCACACATCCTTATTTGTATTTTTACTGTACCTTGTATCTGTAGTGAAATATACGTGGGATCACTATGAACAATAGAATGATCGTTGTGCAGCTTTTTTTATTTGATATACGCCTACCAAATTAATCAGAAATAAACAATCACGTGACAATACTTTATCCTGAAGGACGATAGTGCGTTCCAAAGGCGAATAACACAGGAAACAGACTTTCTAAAAGTCATCAGGTTGATTTAATCAAGTAGAGACTTATCATCATCAGATAAAGGATACCCTTGGTGTGATAATAATTAATTGTTAGCCCTTAGAATCAAGTACTTAATACTTGACAATGAAACATAGACTGAGATGTTTATTCGTATAGAAAAACCTCAAACGTTGAATGATGATGAATATGTTAATAGATGTCTTTCTTTAATTAGTTGTTTGATATACTAATTCAAGACATCAATGAAAATTAATTCATTTTGTAGCAATATTATTTACAAAATATACTTAGCCCTAGTCAATCATAGTTATCCAAAAATACAGCCCGATCAACATTATTGTATGAAAATTATCCGAAATGCATTATTCATCATCCTTTCGTTTCACAAAAGTCTTTCAATTTTAACTGAAACTCACATATAAAAAGTCAATGTTGTTACATGTACTAGCGTCAATTTTACATATTCTGCAGCATGAACTCAAATCAAGAAATCTTGATGATTCAAATTATCAATTTGTTTGAAGATTTTTGGTCAAATATTAAGGTGGTACCTAACACTACAGGGAGATAACTCTGTACAATATTAAGTTGTTTAATTGATAGATAATGATGAATGGGACGG